AAGAAAGAGCAAAGAAATTTCCTGCTATTCATCCGATGGGCACACCAGTACCTACAAAAACCCGCTTTCCGCCTATGAATTTTAGACAGAGCTGTCCCAGGATCTCGTGACAAAAGGCGTGCCGACTTGCTAACTCAGGACAAAGAATTTACCCGAATTATTCATAAATGACTAGTTTTTCAGTAAAAATCAAAATTCCGACCTAATTTGCTAAAAACTGCGTGAAAAAAAACATTAAAAAGAAAATTTAAGTGAACTAAAGCTCAAATGGAAAGTGCCAGATCACTTGCTGTTCCCGAGAGTTCCTAGAAAACTTGAAATAAATTCCCAAATACGAGATCTGGTGGTTGTTGCTGTTGTCGTTGCTGTTGTTGCCGTTGTTGTTTCGTCCGATATCGGGAAATCTTCACTGTCCTGTTTCAGTTCTTCGCTGTTTTCACGGTCATTCAGGCAAATGGCATCTGAAAAGGAAAAATTTTTAGGTTCACTTCTACTTCTCTTGTTACTCTTACTGCTATTGTTATGTAAATTGCGAACTAATAGCCCTAATTCCTGAGATTTTACCACACCCGCAAACACTTAAATATTGAATTTGCGAATTTCTGCAAAAAAAAAGAAAAATACTACGTTAAATTGTTATCAGCTTAGTCTGCCAGGTGAATTCACTAGTTCATCCTGCACTAATATAGCTCTTTCCACTCCATAAATTCACTAAAATGATAAGTAGCAGCCATTTGAAGGTCGAATCGGAAGTGGACGGTCCAAGTGGGGCGGTCGAAGTGGGTTAAATTGACAAAAAAAATTTTCTTTCCGGCCGAACCATAATTTTAGAAAACACGGAGCGGCCGAAATTCTCAAAAAATTTTAGTGTAGGGTAGAATTAGTTAATGAATTATGATGGGAAAGATCGTAGAGCTGTTAATGTGGTACAAACCATATGACATTCTCTACGTTTCAGTAAAATGGCAGTAGTAATTCTGCATACAATTTTCGGCAAAATTTTGAAAAAAAACCCAAAATTTCGATGTTCTGATTTGAAAAACAAACCTCCATTGACAGATTCTTGCATGGGTATTTTGGGCTTCTTTTGGGGTGGTTCAGTGGAGAAAGAGGAGCATTGAGGTGACGAGTGAAGTCTTACGAAACTGTGATTTCGTATTAACGAGTTGCGCTGGAACAGTTCATCGCTCGAACGCAGGGCGGCTAACATCAAAGCTGGCGAGAGAGCCGATGCGCCACCTTAAAAAAAACCGTTTAGCATACAAGACATTCAAGAAGAGCCCGTTAAGCGAGAATACAATGAAATATTACTCCTAAAAGACATTTTTAGGGGATTTTCTTCGACAAAGATAAAAGCTAATTGGCAGTTTCGTGTTGCCTCCCCCCCCCCCCCCCCCCCCCCCCCCC